TACCTACTACATTTAGGTTTCTCTCTGTATTCTTAGTTCTCTTCTCTTCAATTACTCTGTAAACTGGCGAATCCTTTATAGGACGAGAGGTCCTCAATAAAGGCTTTTGTTGTTGTTGTTTGTTGTATATTTCTCTTAAGGTTGGTAGAGGAGCCATTAGCTCAAAATCTCGCCTTGAATTGTTGTCTGGATAAATGAAAAAAAAACTATATTTTTACACCTGTGTGTATATATATTATATAAAAATATTATTTTATTTTAAATTATAATTTCCTAGATTCAAATACCCTGCTAAATCGACCGCCAGAGGTCATGCTTCCCCTATAAAAACTCGTTGTTGTATCCCGTTGGCCGGCTCAAAACCTTTGTACATTATGTAAATAATCTTTTGTTTTCCTTATTCTACTCGCCTTAAGTCAGGCAGTACTTTTATCAAACCATGTTTTTCATATATTCCTTTAGCGCCATTAAAGCTATTTTTGATAACTATTTATTATAATCTCTTCCACGACTGCATACCAAAATCAAGCAAATGACCAATAATTCCTCTACAAGTAATTAATCTCAAAACAGCAGAAATTATTTTTCAAATATAACATATATATTATATTATAAATTATTTTTTATATTATAAATTCTACAAGGCCGCAGTCACCGTTCGGAGGAGATTGATAGAATCGCTGAATGTCGTGGTCCATTTGGATGAGGAAAGTGAAGACTAGAACGTGGCTGATTCCACACTCGTCTGTTCAGTGATACGTTAACCATGACGTATGTACAGTGGAATCTTTTTACGCGACATATGTGGTACAGACCATGATAATCATGGTGGATAGTTATCGAGTGACTGATATTACTACAAATGCACCACATATCTACATATGTAGTAAGCAATTCGACATTTACACTTATAAGTAGATTAAGAAAAAGGCATTTCTCCTTATCGTGCAACTGAAAGTTGCTGATGGCTTGCGCCATCTATCGGAATAAATATCAACTATTCTCGTTGATTTCTAATTATTCCAGAATTGGCCAAATACCCATTCTTGATTAATCAAGAGAAGCTAACCACGGACGCGTTTCGGGTTATTGGCCCTCATCAACGTGGTGCAAGCTGTACCTCAACGACCAAAAAAATTGGTCATTAAGGCATCCTGAAAAATCATGAAACGGGTAGTTAAGGCCAGATTTGCGTGAGACCGCGACACAATGTGAGTACTTATAAGTAGGTCGGAGTACCGCTTTGTTCTTCACATTCATTGGTGAGGTTGAGGGGTCGGTGGAAGGCTGGTTAAACCGTTTGGTTTTCGACCACTACGACCCGGGTTCAATTCCCGCATTGGACACTTTTTTCTGTTTTAAAAAAATGCTCCAATGGCCCCCGATTTTTGGAAAAGTCCAACCCCACCAGCGAGTGCAAGTAACCAAACGGGGCTCTGGCACATTTGTAAGTGCAAATTCGAACTGCTTTTCACATGTGTAGACATGTGGTGCGCTTACAGTAAAAGCAGTCGCTAACTACCCACCATGATTATCATGGCCTGTACCACGTGTACTAGGGATAAGCAAAAAAAAGGTGAGGTTGGACTTTTAAAAGAATGGGTGGCCATTGAAGCAATTTTCTTCAGAAAAAAAAAAGAGTCAAATTCGGGATTCGATTACGGGACATGACTGTCGAATATCAACTGTTTATACCAGTTCTCCACCAATCAAACACCATTATACTATCTGTACTTGTTTTAAGTATTGCTTTCACACGTATTATTGAATGAATAGAGCACCTCTATAATCACAGTTACAGAGAAAGCATTGGTGAAATTCCTTTAGATTATTAACCGCGTTTTTACTTATGGTATTTAATTTAAAAGGCATATTTTATTGATAAAATTTCCAACTATTTAAAAAAATGGTGATGACGTTACTATAGCAATTGAACGATTGTTTTACAGTGGACGTTGAGTGGACATTACAGTAGACTCTCCTATAACGCGAGTTTTTACAACGCGATAAAAAAATTGCGACAAATTTATTTATACAACGCGAATTCCTATAAAGCGATTTCATACAACACGGAACACATTAATCGCGTTATAGGAGAGTTTACTGTATACAATAAATAGTCAGGAAGAATTATCTGAAGTACACTGAAAGTATACAATAGGCAGACATGAAGGTATATAAGGTATATATAAGGTAAACAAGAACTATAAGATTCAAGATAAAATTGTGAAAAGCGTTTAAAAACTACGAATTTTTGTTTTATCTTTAAACAAGAGCTATACAAGAAATTGATGTGAGGCATATATGAAGGAAACAAGAGCTATGCAAGAAACAGACAGGAAGTATATCTGAAGTAAAAAGAGGTAGACAAGAAACAGACAGGAAGTATATCTGAAGTAAAAAGAGCTATACAAGAAACAGACAGGAAGTATATACGAAATATATTCAAAGTCATCAGGAGTTATACACGAAACAAACAAGAAGTATATCTGAGGTAAAAAGAGCTATACAAGAAACAGACAAGAAGTATATACGAAATATATTCAAAGTAAACAGGAGTTATACAAGAAACAGACAAGAAGTATATCTGAGGTAAAAAGAGCTATACAAGAAACAGACAAGAAGTATATCTGAGGTAAAAAGAGCTATACAAGAAACAGACAGGAAGTATATACGAAATTTATTCAAAGTAAACAGGAGTTATACAAGAAACAGACAAGAAGTAAATCTGAAGTACACTGAAAGTATACAATAGGCAGACATGAAGTGTATACGAAATATACTCAAAGTAAACAGGAGTTATACAAGATACAGACAAGAAGTAAACAAGAGGTAGACAAGAAACAGGCAAGAAGTAAACAAGAGGTAGACAAGAAACAGACAAGAAGTAAACAAGAGGTAGACAAGAAACAGACTAGAAGTATATCTGAGGTAAAAAGAGCTATACAAGAAACAGACAGGAAGTAAACAAGAGCTATACAAGAAACAGACAAGAAGTAAACAAGAGCTATACAAGAAACAGACAGGAAGTAAACAAGAGGTAGACAAGAAGCATATCTGCAATAAACAAGAGCTATACATGAATCAGACAGGAAGTATATACGAAATATAGTCCAAGTCAACAAGAGGTATAGAAGAAACAGACAAGAAGTACAGGCTGATCCAAAAGTCGTGCACAAACCTAAAAATTAATAACTCCGCGAATATTTGCGCTAGAACAATGGGGTAAACACCATTGTGTTCAGGATGCATTGGAAATTTTAGGGCAAATAATGAAATATTCGAAATTGATTTTAGTTACAATTTTATTCGTTAGATAGCGTTCTACCACAATCAGAGATTCAGCGGCCAAATTGTTTGATGAATTGAAAAATATAACTGATCGACACGTATTTTTCCTTTTTGAATACCAGGAAAGAACCCCTAATAATATCAAATGGTAAATTGATAAAACATCATTTCGTCAAAAGTATAAGAATTGGATGACGATTTTTAAATGCAATCCGAGATATGTAAAATAGGTAAATGCAAATTAAACATGTAGCAAAAAAAAATGATATTTTAGATGCGGTTTGCTGGAAATCTCTCAGCTATTTAAATTTCGAAGATAAATTTCTAATTTTTTAATTCAACTCTTTCTCAGTATCGATTTTATTTATTTTAATTCTTTTAAAAAATAGTTATCTATCTCTGATAATTTATTTTGCTCTGGAATGTCGTCACTACACGTTTATTTTGACGGGAGAGGCGCCTTATGCTTCTATGGATCAATTTCCTCCCGGCAAATTTTCCATCTATATTCGTATATCTATATATATAAAAATGAATGTCTGTCTGTCTGTGTGTGTGTGTGTCCTCTATGGATTCAAAAACCATACATCCAATCGCCGTGAAATTTTGGGATATTATTAGGTGTATCCCCGGAAAGGTTTACGAAAAATAATATCTTGAATATCTTTAATATCCTTAGAGTTATTTGCAGATTTGTATATTTAACTCGCAAGCAGCGCTACCATTGAGACGGAGATAGGCTTAGTTTGCTGCTCCTGATGACCTTGGGTCATCGTGTGAGTCACAGCATGATGCTACAAAAACACTCTCTCTGGGGATTTTACAGCGTCGACAACCTGTAAGATTGCCTCTCTCATCTATATATATAAAATTGAATGTCTGTCTGTTTGTGGTCTGTGTGTACTCTATAGATTCAAAAACCGTACATACAATCGCCGTGAAAATTTGGGATATTATTAGGCATATCCCCGGAAAGGTTTACGAAAAATAATATCTTGAATATCTTTAATATCCTTAGAGTTATTTGCAGATTTGTAGCTTTAACTCGCAAGCAGCGCCACCTTGCGACGGAGATAATCTGCCCCCCCCCCCCCCCCCCCGTCCGGCCGCCGGCCAATCAGAGTGATCAAGAGGTCCTGGCGCGCGGGGGGCGGGTGACCTCCGGGAACTACGTCCATCTTCCATAAACGACCATGATTTTATTCAACTTATCGAGTATTTTTCAAGGGACCGGGAAAATATGTTCACTAGATAAAACGATGATTTTGTAATGTAGAAAATTATGAAAGACAAAATTCAGGATGACACGGCACACAGGGACCGGGGAATGTTCACTTTATCGAGAGATTCAAATATACGAGTTTCAAATTATCAAAATATATCTTTTTTTTTTAGAGTTTATAGAGAATTGTTTTAACAAATGTTCGTTAGACAAACCTTTACTCGGGTAAAACCTCGGGCGAAGCCGGGTATGTCCGCTAGTATCTCTATATATATAAAAGTCAATGTCTGTCTGTTTCGCGATAAACTCAAAAACTACTGAACCAATTGGTACCAAATTTTGCATGTCGCTTTTTATAAACCTGAGGAAAATTTTCGGCTACATTTAGATTAGTATTTTTGGCTATTTCTTTTTTTCATTTGAAGAACTTTTTTACGCGGAGTAATCCGGAATGGAATGAATACCCAAATATGGCCATTTTTTATAAGCATCGGTGGTTCAGTGGTAGAATGCTCGCCTGCCACGCGGGCGGCCCGGGTTCGATTCCCGGCGATACATTTGTTTTTTTACACTTTTTAAAACTCATTTATATTATATATAATATAAATATATATTATTATATCAACTATATTAATTAAATCAAATACCTAAACACTAATATAATACAATTTTTGCCATCACACACTTTTTTCCTGTAGTTTATGTGTTACTTCTGTATTGCTATTCTATGGCACTTCTAATATTTATTATTGATGTACTTTCAGTATGAAGGAAATTGCAATCGGGGGAATTCTCGGGCGAAGCCGGGTCATACTTCTAGTATATTATATTTTCCAACATATATATATATTAAGAAAAAGGTATCTCCTCATCGTGCAACTGAAAGTTGCTGATGGCTTTCGCCATCAATCGGAATAAATATCAACTATTCTCGTTGATTTTTAATTATTCCAGAATTGGCCAAATTCCCATTCTTGATTAATCAAGAAAAGCTAACCACAGACGCGTTTCGGGCTGTTGGCCCTCATCAGCGTGGTGCAAGCTGTACCTAAACGACCAAACCTGTTTCATGATTTTTCAGGATGACTTAATGACCAAATTTTTGGTCGTTTAGGTACAGCTTGCACCACGCTGATGAGGGCCAACAGCCCGAAACGCGTCTGTGGTTAGCTTTTCTTGATTAATCAAGAATGGGAATTTGGCCAATTCTGGAAAATTTAAAAATCAACAAGAATAGTTGATATTTATTCCGATTGATGGCGCAAGCCATCAGCCTCTTTCAGTTACAAGATAAGGAGATGCCTTTTTCTTAATATATGCACCTTATCCCAGTACAATATCACATTTGTACTATTTTTCACATATATATATATATACTAGGCGAATGACCCGGCTTCGCCCGAGAAATCCCTTGAATGCAATTTCCTTCATAATGAAAGTACATCAATAATAAATAGTAGTACTGCCATTGAATAGCAATACAGAAGTAACACATAAACCACAGGAAAAAAGCGTGTGTGATTGCAAAAATTGTATTATATTTGTGTTTAGATATTTGATTTATTTTTTTTTCAATCCATTTAGTTGTTTCAAAATCAATATAGTTTAAATAGATAGCAGCTTTTCCACCCAACCCCCGAGTTACCGGCCCCAGCGCATTAACCCTTAAAATTGCCCGAGTTGAGTGGGTGACTGCGATGGATCTTGACTGAGATGCCCATCTTCTCAGTAAGAATAAGAAAAAATAGGTTTATAAAAATATTAATCCAAAATACTGGCATGTAAATATTTTTCTGTAAAAAATAAAAGAGCACATGGAAATTAGGCAAATATATGTGTTTGCTAATGACTGTGACTGCATTTTGAACTATTTTTTAAAAGGCATAAAAAAAGCAAAAGGCAAAACAAAATTAATAAAAAATACGAAAGCAATTATTTACATACAGTAACGTTAATTTTGTAAAGTTTATTTTTTTAAATTGCATTAGGTGCACTTACCGTAAACTTAGTAATATAAATTTCTCTCTCAATACTCAATACTTTTGTGAAAAAAAAGTAACACTTGTAAAAAAAAGATATTTCAAAAAAAGTACGCAAGCAACTTGAAAAAAAAAAATGCAGAACGCTCATTGGTCTCTTAATTAGCCTGGTGTTGTTACTTCGCCTCGTATTTCCTCCGCGTAAAAAAAAATTCTTCACATGAAAAAAATAAATAGTCGAAAATACTAATCAAAATGCATCCGAATATTTTCCTCATGTTTATAAAAAGCGACATGCAAAATTTGGTATCAATTGGTTCAGTAGTTTTTGAGTTTATCGCGAAACAGACGACAATGACTTTTATATATTAGATTATATATATAAAAAAACAAAGGCCAGAACAAAAATTAATAAAAAATACGAAAGCCATTGTTTACATACAGTAACGCTAATTTTGTAATGTTTTTTTTAATTGCATTGTGTGCACTTACCGTAACTTAGTAATATAAATTTCTCTCTCAATACTTTTGTAAAAAAAAGTGACACTCGTATAAAAAGATATTTAAAAAAAAGTACGCAAGCAACTTGAAAAGAAATGCAGAACGCTCATTGGTCGCTTAATTGGCCTCGTGTTGTTACTTCGCCTCGTATTTACTCCGCGTAAAAAAAAGTTCTTCAAATGAAAAAAAGAAATAGCCAAAAATACTAATCAAAATGTAGCCAAAAATTTCCTCAGGTTTATAAAAAGCGACATGCAAAATTTGGTACCAATTGGTTCAGTAGTTTTTGAGTTTATCGCGAAACAGACAGATATTGAGTTTTATATATATAGAGATATGTTATGAAAAAAAGAGATTTCTGTTGATTTTTGATTATCTTGAGGATTATGCTATGGTAATGCAGTCGTGGTTAAAATCCCGAAACTATAATAATAAAAATAGTGAAGATTAAAAATAGCTTTAATTGAGCTTATGGAATATAGAAAACATAATTTGAGAAAGGTGTGCCTGACTTAAGGCGTAAGAATAAAAAAAAAAAGGAAAACGTATTTACTAATTAAATAATTAGAAAAAGGTATTTCGATTTAAAAAAAAAAACTAAATATAAATCTAAAATTATTTTTGAATTGTAGCGAATTTGCATATTTCGTTATTTAAAGTATTTACATATGGTACAACGCCAACACTTGAATCTTTATTTTTACATATTTTTTCAATATTATTAGAATGTGGCTTAACATTAGAATGTATATGTTGCTATAAAAGTTTACCTCCCTGGTCCATAACTTGGTCATTTGAAACATGGTATCTTGTGTTTCCCACTAATAAAGTGTTGTCTCTCAATTTATCTCTTATTCCTCTATCCAGGAGTTCTTTTCTTTTTCTAAATAGTAGTTTTCTCTGATTTAATTATTTTTGAATTATTTTAAAAACTTGAAAAATATCGATAAAAAAGTTTTAAAATTTTGTTATCAAAGTATAAAATGGTATTGTTAAAATAGTGTCGTTTGTATGTAAAATATTTTAAAATTACAAAATCTATATAAACAAAGTCCATTTTATTTGTAAATATTGTATATTTTAAACACAATATATATGAGACAGGGTTAGGTTTTAAGATCCTAGTAAAGAACAAAACACTGAGATATCGAAGAATTTAAAAATAAAGACGGCATCTCTTAACCACGAGCACATGTGCTTTTTAGGTGGCAGAGCGCCATCTAGTGGAGTAAAAATAAACTAAACCTTTATCTAGCTTGCTCCGTGATATTTAGCCAACCCAATTTCTTGATAAATCAAGAAAAGCCATCTATTTTTGCCATTTTTGCTCCACTAGATGGCGCTCTGCTATCTAAAAAGCACATGTGCTCGTGGTCAGGAGATGCCTTCTTTATTTTTAATATCAACACCTGACCCACTTATCTTTTATTTTTTTCTATTGTTTTTTCATTGAAGAGAATTTGTTTAAATGATTTGTTTTACAAATATAATTGAACGCTTAAATAATTTTTTAAAAGTGTATACATCAACTTTCTATTATACCATAACTATAATGTAAGATTATAAACTCCGTCTTTGCTGGTCCCAAGCCCAGATGAAAAAGGAGAAATGGGAGCAGTAACAAGCTCGCTAAAAAACCTGGGCTCAGCTTGCCCGGCTGATAGTACCCTGTAAGGGCTCCTAATCCAGGGATACAGGATGAGCAGCGTTTGTACTCCGCGGCTGCACATGGTGTCTGTTCCTCATGTCAGAGGTGGCCATTTCTTTTGGAACTAAATCAGCCTGCCACTGAGTAGTGCTCCCAGTCTTAATGACAAAGGAAGACGCATTCTACTTCACCCAGTCATGATGGTTGTCAAATCTCAAGCTCTACAAACTTGATACCCTAATATGATTGAGTGGAGATAAGAAAGAAGAAGATAAGATTATAAACTCAAAAGGAGCATCTTCAATATAACATATTTATCTTGCTAGCTTTCAAACGACATCGTTCTTAAAGGGACGTAAAATTTTAAAAATATTTATATACATTTTTGAAAATATTAATAAAACACTTAGTAGAAATTGAAGGTGCTACATACAGAATTACAGAGGGTGTTCACACTTATAGGAAACGAGCGCCCGGTGTAAAAAAGGAGCTATTACTTTATTTAAAAAAAATCAACAATCAACGTGGAATTCGAAAAGGCTTAAGCTAATTCTAACACGCAATACATATCTTTTGTTATTTAAAAAAAATGCCCTTCAGATACAATAATTTCATAAGAGGTTATATTTTAGGACTTTCCAGAGCTAATCTTACCTATTTGGACATAATTAAAATATGCAAACAAGATGATATCAACATTTCTGAAAAAAGGTATTTATAATATTATTCACGACAAAAATATCAAGTTTTTATTCAAAGCACCTACGGAGAAATGGACAAAAGATTATCACCCTATATCTGTGAGAACTCCTGCAACTGTCAAAAAAGTGAAAAAATATATTACAAAAGAAAATCCTATGCCACAAAGAGATATAGCCAAATTAATAGGAACATCAGTGTCAACAATAAATAAAATAATAAATAAAGATTTAGGCCTAAAAGCTACAAAAAAAAACATGCGGTTCACAAATTGTTTCATAGCTATATTCGTCAGCGACACACTATCAGCAGATATTTTTATGAAAATTTCTTGGCTGCTGATAGATGGAAATTTATTGTTACATATGACGAAGCATGGGTATATTTAACCGATTGCGACAGAAAAAGAGCTATATACTATGAAAAAAGTGTGGAAAAATCTAGGCCAATTTGGTTGAAGGAATGTGCCGAAAGCTACCCCAAAGGATTTATGGTGGCATGCGGTATATCATATGAAGGAAAATTAAAAATAAGCAAAGTTGAAAGAAATGCCAAAATAAACTCGGAGTACTATCAAAACATTTTAGAACCTATATTTTAAAATGATATTCCCTCTATCTATGGAAAACAGAGCAACAAAGTCTGGTTTCACCATGATAATGCCGCAAGTCATACCTCATCTTCAACCCAAGCTTATTTGGAAGATCTAAGGCAAATAACAGGAATCAAC